TTATTATTGTTTTATTTGGACCAACAACCTTCAACAACCTTTTTCATACTTTCAGTCCGTTATTTAGATGCTACTGCTGTAATGGCATCTAAAGACCTTATATACACACTTATCGTCCAGGACCAAGGCTGGACAGCCTTTTTATGTCAAAAAATATTTTTACAGGAACAAGAAATCGTTTTATTCCATGCTGAAAAGAGAAGAAAGAAAACACAACGTTTCGGCCGTGGAGACTTCTGAAACATTTTTACCCACTAAAATATTTCTACAGTACAACTATTGACCAGGCAGCTCCAATTATTGACTGCAGTGCTGGAATAATTGAGTTAGAAACCAGTACATCTATATAAAGACAAGTCTGAAAAATGCCTTGTGCATCTAAATAGTGAAAGTTTTCAAATGGTTTTGTTTCTAGCTGTAGAACGTTCTAACTTACTGTGGGCATTCCAGGTACTGTAGGATGCGTGCGAGCTGCACACAGGCTTGACCCTTCTTTCCAATCCCTTTAAACTCGCCTTCCACACTCCTGAATGCAAAGAAAATAATGTCAGTGGTATCATTTTGAATTTTTCATTCTCTTATGCCAGTGTATGAAGTCTCACTGTTCTATAAACATCAATAAATAGCCAAAGATCTTTCAGGGAGTAACAATTGTATTGATGCAAAAACTACCACAGTCCTCCAAACACACAATTGAATGCCACGCAGTGGTGCATCAAACCATTTAACTCTGTGATTAAAGTTTACAGTAGGTGGCTGCAAACATTCAATAACTAATGAGGTAAAACCCACAGATCAGAGCATGTTACCTATGAAAAGCAATCACTTCTACAAACAACTGATGATTCTGAAACAAGACCCGGAGAGTCTTCAGGCTTACTTTGCATCTTCCCCTTGCTCGTCAAACACCACAATCTCGTCGACACAGAAGACAGTGCAGGCTCGGGCTATCTGCCCGGCCAGGTAAGTTCGCAGTTCAGGAGACTGGGCATTGTCCAGCACTGACCCAGGCAAGGCAATGCTGACTGTGTAATGGCGACCTGCAATCAGAAGCCACATGACAATCATTTTCGGAGCTAGCTAAAATCTAGTTACATTTTCAAGGCAGGTTAAAAACAATCATCTAATGACTCTCAGTGGCCTTTTGATTTAGCGTGTCTGATTAACTGCTCAACACTGTGTTACACATAAATATTGAAATGTCCCATATTGAAGAATTACCGCCGCCTACTTACCTTTCCTTATCTTGTCTTCTTTCTGCAATTTTTCTGTCAGCTCTTGCTCTTCTTTCTGCCTCTGTTTCTCAAGCTTTTTAATAAGCTTCGCTTCTCGGATCCTCTTTTTCTGCTCTTTTCCTGTGATTTAAAAGAGATCCATTAAGACGAAACCTGCAACTGTAGCAACATGCGCGAATAATGTGTTTTCTTAGCGATATATCTTACTCAACTAGAAACACTTCTGATCACTTGTACTGTTCGCTAATATATTAGTCATAAAACGCGTAAGGACCACTCACTTTCAGCATTCCTCTTTTTCCAATCGATCTTCTGGTCACCCTGGAGGGAAAAAGTAAAATGTATTTAGGTTTATTGCGACGAAATGCATTTTCTTGCATCTAACGTGGTTGGTTAAGTAAATGCAACTACAATTAGGTTTAAAAATGACATCTACGTTCTGATAATTTTTTTAATTGTTAATGCGACACCTAAAAAAATATTCATCGTCCATTTCTGAAACATTATTTGATAACGTTTGGCATAACATACCACTTTTGGTGAAAGCTTATGCTTTCCTAGTACTGTGCTTTCGGACATCTTTAAACAACCATGCCGACTATATTTCCGGTGTCCGCAGAAAAACTTCCGACAGATCTCTTTTCTGATTGGACATGAAAGTTGCAGAGGAGGAGTGAGGCGTTAATAGTAAGGACTTTCAAGTCTTAGTAAAGGTTTTTCAAGTCCTTGAATTGACGCTGTGCATATGTACTGTATAGTGCAACTTCATAGACTATATTAAAATTAAATTACGTTTCAATTCATT